TTTTCTTTTGTTTTATTTAAAAAAAAAACCACTTGGGCTACGGTTTTCCCTTTTACCTCTCTTTTGATTTTTTTTTTAAAATAAGGAAGACCCATTTATCCAATTGCCTTTTTGTTAAAACAAAACAAAGCCCACAAACAAGAAATTAGTGTCCTATTTCCAACCTCCTTAAGCCTAATTATATCCCATAATAGAATTAAGTGATTGGTCCATCGACCTAGGACAAAAGTCAAAGAAGCGGACTCCTCGTTAAATAATAATTAAATAAGCACATACATGTCAATAGATCACAACAATTTCCACAGCAGCTCAAAATAAAATTAAATGAAGCATTTAAATTAAATTAAAAAGATTTCTAAGAAAAGAGGCCCCGAGACGCGAGAGTAACCTAACCTGAGTAACGCGGGGCGTTATAGAACTTGAATTAAAAGCAATACGGTAAGCAAACGTATGAAAATACAAGGAAATAACAACTAAAAATTGAATCTAAAGCCTAAGAACGAGTTCTACAACGAAGAAGGAATGAAATGAATCTGAAAAGAAGCTTGGAAGGGATGATTTGCTGCTGCAGGAATGACTTTCTTATATAGGCCCTTGTGGTTGTTGAACTTCCCACTTCCATTTTACTTAGACTCACAGTTGTAGCTTGATTAAAACACATAGGAATTGTCCTCCTTGCCCATGATTAGTCAAAACGCACGTTTGGTAAAATGGACTTCAAAATTACACCAGGTGCAATTCCTGCAAAACAGAAAACTGTTATTTTCTTCCAACTTTGACCGCATTTTTCTCATATTTTTCCTAAAGTACCATATTTTGACTTTTACCCATAATTGTTCTATGCATGTTCTACTTTAACAATATGTAATTATGTTTTGAAAATAATGATGGGAAAGGGATCAAAATCTTGGTCGAACAGGCCTACCGACACATGTTTCTGCAGTAAAAAGTCGACCCTTACACACCCTCAAACTTAGCCATTTTGTTTGTAACGCCTCGCGTTCGTCATGTCAGATTAACCTCTAGCTACTAGATTTTGGTCGAAAATTTATTTAAAAGTATTTAAAATGGTTTTACCTTATTTTAATTGGGATGTTGTGGTGCTGTTGTGTGTTTTAGCTCTTAATTAATGAAGTAATTGTTTTTCGGCTGGTGTACTGGGCTGTTGGACTTGTACGTCTATTTTCGTTATAGGAAGATGATTAAACGGGCATCGTTAGAAAAAAAAATAGAAATTTTAATTCTTTTACCCATGGGCGTTATTTTCAAAAGTTGGGTAAATGGGCTTTTATTTTTTAGAGGTAAAAAAAAAAACAAGGGGAACCTTAGCAACATTTTCCTTTTCCAAATCGTGAGCCACCGCCCCCGTCCCTCCTTCCTTCCATCGCCCAGCCACGCCCTCTCTTACCCGAAGACCGGCGCGTCATCCTCTCCGATGAACAGCAGCAACGCGTGCGTCGTGGTTCGTGGCAGTAGCTGGCAACGTTTCGCGGCGGTTTGATGACGACTCGGGGTGTTTTCCAGCGACACAGAGTCTTAGTAGCAGTGTTCGGTGTTCGTAGAGGTCGGCGCCCTCGAGTACAGTTTCCACACGCCGCACAGCCGCATCGATAGCAGTAGGTGTGTTCTCTTTGTTGCGAAAATGCTTGCAGCAACTTTTTTTGAAGCATTTAGCACCTACCCATGACCGTTTGAAATCCAATTGAGGCAATCCACACCCATTCAAACTTAATCCAAGTTACCCACACCTAAACGAGGTCGTTTTCGCGGTAACAGAATTCTTAATTCCCATATAACCATTTTCGATGGCTGGAGATTCGTTTTATATTGCTGGTTTTTGGTCGTTTGTTGCTTAGGTGTTGAGTCGACACGAAGTTAGGAGCGTAGCAGTGTCTAAGTAGTACCAGGGGCGAGTGTGTGCGTTGATGTGTGTTGATAGAAATTGTTCTTGCTGTTTTCTTTGTTATAAGTGTGTTTCTCTTGCTATTTTGATGGTTGGGCACAGTTGTGAAAACAATATTGCCATGGAATCTTGCCATTTGTTTTTTTGTTGTTTATTTGAGATATGTATATGACTGGCATCGATGATTGTTGTTTGTAACCATGGAAATTTGCTGATTTGTATGGTTGAAAGTATTTATGTTGAGTTAAATACAGTTTATCCGGAACCTACGATGCATGTACTAACTTGCGCTGATATTTACTGAGTTAGAAGACGTGTACTTACTGGTTTGAGAATTGTGAGTTTCCTTCTCTTTTGTCTACTGAAAAGTATGTTGGAAGGAAATGTGTGTTGTGAATGAAAGTGAACCGCCTATTTGATGAGTTGAAAAGGTTGGTTGTGATCTGTCTGAAGTGGAGGAACATGTTAGTTGTTTCTTGTTGTGAATCGCCTAAACTATCTTCCTTGTTACCCCACGTCACATAACTCCCCCACCCCCTACAATAATGCAGGGGAGTTAAATATTAATATTAATATTAATAATTAATATATATAAAATATATATATATATATAATAATTAAAATATAATTAATTAATTAATCATATTAATTAATAAATGTTAATTAATTATTAATCTAATTAATAATTAATATATATATATATATATATATATATATCAAATAAATAATTAACCCTTAATTATTTATCACATGAATAGAATCATATTCTAAAACATTTCTCTCGTATAACCTATACTTTTAATGTACTTCTTATGCACATTATTTTTAACCTATAGTTTTAATATGAATCTTATTCATATTAATTTCATTTGAATCTCATTCAAACAATTTCTCTCATAATATATAGTTTTAATTTATAATTAACTATATATTATAATGTATCAATATACATATAATCCCTTAAGTAATTTGAATAATTCAAATTCTTCCAAAAACTTGATCCTCGTTTTACCCGTTATGAGCTAGCAAGGGGACCTAATGGACCTACAGATCAGAAGCTCCAACAATGCAAGTTCAATCGGTCAAACTCATTGACCGAGTTAATCAAGATTCGTTAACTACGGGTCATTCCACTAAAGACCCGCAGTTGCACTCTTCTCACTGCAGAATGTTTTCATGTCCAGGATATACGACCATTAATGACGAGGCAATCATTCACGAGTTCTCGTAACTCGAGTTGGGTCAAATTACCGTTTTACGCCTGAGTTACATCTTACTCCTTAAAAACCACTGCTCCTCTAATGAACAACCCGGTTGTGGTCCGACCAATAACCGGAAGTCCCTCTCGGGCCAATGAGAGGTGGATCCCCTTGTTCAAGTCCCGGAGTCAGCATTTAAGGGAACACTCATCTAGTCCCCTAAAGTCGGAGAGGAGTGAATTCCATCTTGTGAAGTTATGTTCCCAGCTCCCCACTCGATCTTGACCCCAAAATGGTAGGAATGTTGAGTCGGTAACTTGGGCCACTCTCACCCATACAGATTAAAGGACGAGCCCTCACGGGCAGGAGTCCATAACTCACTTAGGATTGAGAATGAGTTGTCTGGTCATCCTAAGAAACAGCAATCTATTAGTTAACGGTGTTACATCTAAAGATTGGCTATTTCGTGGTCCGGTCTTATACAAACTCATTGTATAGGATACCCCCACTCGCATGTCTCCACACGAACGACCTAGATCGAGTCGTCTGTAAGCTTTACAGAGTCGGTCGTATCCATAGTGTTGCCAGGATAACGTACCCAGCCTTATCCATATACTATAGACCCTTTAGGTTATTCACCGGACATTATCCACTTGTATATCAGGGTATATGAAATATATACCTTGTATATCAGGAGTATATCAAATATATACCCAGTACATATATTGTCCCAGTTACACTAAAATAACCTCGGATGTTTAGTTTATTGGATTTTGGACAATGAAATGCTATGAATTCAACATCAAATTTATTGAATAAAACTTTACTGAATATACATTTGTTTTTAAACAAAATACAAACTACGAGTTTAGGGCAACACACCCAACGAGGACTTGCTAACCGAGGCTCATAACACCCCATTCTCAGTGCATCTAGGGAGTACCAAGGTGTACAGAGACCTTAAGAAGAATTATTGGTGGCACAATATGAAGCGAGAAATTGCTCAGTTTGTTAGTAAGTGTTTGACGTGTCAGCAGGTGAAGGCCTCAAGACAGAGACTGCCGGGTTGTTGCACCCTTTAAGCATACCTATCTGGAAATGGGACAACGTGGCCATGGACTTCATTACAGGGTTACCGAGAACAGTCAAAGGGTACACAGTGATTTGGGTGATTGTGGACCAATTGACAAAGTCTGCCCATTTCTTACCAGGCAAGGCCACCTATTCAATGAAGAGGTGGGCAAGGCTCTATCTGCAGGTGATAGTTAGACTACATGCCATACCAGTATCCATAGTGTCAGACCGAGATCCTCGCTTCAAGGCCACTTTTTGGCGAAGTTTGCATAAGGCACTTGGAACCCATGTTGACTTTAGTACAACATTCCATCCCCAGACTTACGGTCAGACAGAGCGTTTGAATCAGATTTTGGAACACATGTTGAAAGCCTGTATAATAGACTTCAGTGGTTATTGGGACAAGCATTTGTTTTTAAAAAAGTTTGCTTATAACAACAGTTATCAGACAACAATTGGGATGGCCCCATACGAAACTCTGTATGGGATAAAGTACAGATCTCTAGTTCACTGGGATAAGGTTGGAGAGAGAGTCCTGTTGGGACCAAAACTGGTGCAGGAGACTAATAGGGCTATCCAAAGGATTAGGGCGAAAATGTAGACGGTTCAAAGCAGGCAGAAAATTTACGCCGATAATAGACGAAATGAGCTGGAGTTTAGTGTCAACAATCACGTTTTTCTTCACGTGGCACAAGTGAAAGGAGTCCTACGTTTCGGTAAGAAAGGGAAGCTTAGTCCGAGGTACATTGGCCCTTTTGATATCTTGGAACGCGTCGGCTGAGTCGCTTACCGGTTGGCTCTGCCTTCATCTCTATTTGTGGTGCATAACGTGTTCCATGTTGAGAAAGTATTACATGACCATTCTCACGTCCAGGATCCCGAACCATTATAGTTAGATGGAACCTTGTGCTACAAAGAAGTACCCGTAGAGATCTTAGCCAAGAAGACCAAGATGCTGCGAAACAAGACTATTGACTTGGTAAAGGTCATATGGAGAAATCACCAAGTGGGGGAGGCTACCTAGGAAAAGGAAGATGAGATCTTAGCGAAATATCCTGAGTTGTTTTCTCAATGAACTTTCGACGACGAAAGTTTTTGAAGGGGGGAGTCTGTACCGCCCTGTGTTACTCACGTCAGATTAACCTCTAGCTACGAGATTTTTGTCGAAAATTTATTTTAAAGTATTTAAAATTGTTTGACCATATTTTAATTGGGTCGTTGTGGAGCTGTTGTGAGTTTTAGCTCTTAATTAATGAAGTAATTGTTTTTCGGCTTGTGTGCTGGGCTGTTGGACTTGTACGTCTATATTCGTTATGGGAAGAAGATTAAACGGGCATCGCTAGAAAAAAATAGAAATTTTAATTCTTTTACCCATGGGCCTTATTTTCAAAAGCTGGGTAAATGGGCTTTTATTATTTAGAGGTAACACAAAAAAAAAAAAAAAATACAAGGGCAACCCTAGCAACCTTTTCCTTCTACAAATCGTGAGCCACTGCCCCCATCATTCCTTCCTTCCATCACCCAGGCACGCCTTGTCCTACCCGATGACCGGCGCGTCATTCTCTCCGTCGAACAACAGCAGACGCGTGCGTCTTGGTTCATGGCAGTAGCGGGCGACGTTTCGTGGCAGTTTGACGATGTTTTAGGGTGTTTTGTGGCAGCACAGGGTCATAGCAGCAGCGTTCGGTGTTTGTGGAGGCCGCCCCCCTCGGGTACAGTTTCCACACGCGGCACAACTGCATCGATAGCAGTAGGTGTGTTCTATTTGTTGCGAAAACGCTTGCAACAACTTTCTTTGAAGCATTTAGCACCTACCCATGACCGTTTGAAATCCAATTGAGGCAACCCACACCCATTCGAACTTAATCCAAGTTACCCACACCTAAACGAGGTCGTTTCCGCGGTAAGGAAATTCTTAATTCCCTTATAACCATTTTCGATGGCTGGAGATTCGATTTTGATTGTTGGTTTTTGGTCTTTTGTTGCTTAGGTGTTGAGTCGACGCGAAGTTAGGAGCATAGCAGTGTGTAAGTAGTACCAGGGGCGGGTGTGTGTGTTGAATGTGTGCTGATAGAAATTGTTTTTGTTGTTTTCTTTGTTATAAGTGTGTTTCTCTTGCTATTTTGATTGTTGGCCACAGTTGTGAAGACGATACTGCCATGGAATCTTGCCATTTGTTTTTTTTTTGGTTGTTTATTTGAGATATGTATATGACTGGTATCCATGACTGTTGTTTGTAACCAAGGGAATTTACTGATTTGTATGGTTGGAAGTATTTATGTTAAGTGAAATACAGTTTATCCGGAACCTTCAATGCATGTACTAACTTGTGCTGGTATTTACTGAGTTAGAAGACGTGTACTTACTGGTTTGAGAATTGTGAGTTTCCTTCTCTTTTGTCTACTAAAAAGTATGTTGGAAGGAAATGTGTGTTGTGAACGAAAGTGAACCGCCTATTTGATGAGTTGAAGAGGTTGGCTATGATCTGTCTGAAGTGGAGGAACATGTTAGTTGTTTCTTGTTGTGAATCGCCTAAAGTGGTAGAGCAGGTTAGTTGTTATGTTTGTTGTGTATTGTCTAAAGTGATGGACATGGTAGTTGTTTCATTTTATGTGAATCGCCTGAAGCGGTAGAACATGATGGTTGTTCTATTTGTGGTGTTTTGTCTGAAGTGATAGGCCTGACCAAAGGTTTTGTCAGTGGAAGACAGTATGGTGAATGATTGAGAAGTCATGGAAAATAAAAGCAAGAGATTATAGTGGGAGACCATAAGTTAAGCGTGTGGCTTACTCTGACATGGAAGGGCATGGAGAAACACTTAGCTCTAGTGGCAATGGCCGGGGTTGATACGTCACTACTGAATGTCGGTTTTCCGAGTGAAGAAAAAAATCATAGGTCAGTTTGTTAGAGATGAGTGTGAGGCTCCGTGTACAAAGGGTCGGGGGTCGGCATGGTGAGTCTATATGATAACTAGTATTGGATCCTGATATGGTGGTGGTCGGGAACAATATGCCTAGTAGACGTCGAGACCTTTGTTACGAAAGGTCAAGGATCGATGCACAGTTCGAGGCCTCAGAATTAAGGTCAAAGTCAAACACGAAGTTTCTCTGAAGGAATGTCGGGCCCTTGGGTATAAAAGGGCAAGGGGTGATACGACTCGAAGAGTTAGACTTGGAGGAATAACCTTGTAGAATAAGTTAGAAGTGTTTTGGAGGAGTTATAATTCAGAGGGCTCTGTGGTTGAAGTTCCGTGTGTTTTGCTATTTGAGATGCATGTGTGTGTGTTGTTACACGTTACTGCTTATTGATGTTAATTTCTAACTGTCTTCTTGTGATACTGTTATGACTTTGAGCATGCTGCTTGTGTATAGTAAGTGAGGGCTACTTACAGAGTATTTTATATACTCACCACCTCTCTACCATTATTTGTTTTCAGGTGTAGATCGAGTCTTTGGCCATGGTGATTACTAGGAAGAGGGTTAAATTTGGAGTTTAACAACGTTAGCCTATGAGTGTTGTGAAATTCGGGGGCGTTACATTGTTGTCCTCAAGCAAAAACAACAACAACAAATCTATAAAAACCAACATGCTAGAATGATGAATGAGCAACAATCCGAAGATTCTAAGTATTTTAATCATATCCGTCTCGGGAAGGACCCCACAAGTTAAACATCCTAACTTTAATCTCAATCCAATATGTCATAAACCATCCTTTATTTTGAAAATAAAAATTATTATAAATCTTCTTCTTTTCTAAAACACAAAATTTTTTACAAAACCAAGGAATATGCACACTTCCATTTTGATTAAAAAAGTTTTACATCAAAAAGACACATGGACCGTGTACTAGCTCTTGAGGTTTTCCACACACTAACATCGATTTCAGACCACAACCACACATAGAAACTTGCTACGTAGCAACCTGGCATAAAATGACGTCGACAAGAGATTTTCCACACACCAACATCGATTTGTAGGCTACTACCCTCCAAGATGCTAACACCAATTATTTAAAGACAAATGAATGTTTACAGTGGGGTCTCGCGAAAAAGTAGGTGCGTTTTCTTGCCACTCATGTTTTTTACAACTCTTGTCTTTCTCGCAATTTTATTTTTCTTTTCTTTCCCCCCACTCTTATTTTCTCTGAAAACTTTTTTTTGAACTTGATTTTTCTTCTTTTGAACTGTTTTTAAAAATTTTTTTTTTCAAAAAAAAAATTCTTGCATATGACTCTTTTTGCATAAGACTCTTTTTTTTTGTTTATATTGCTTGCATTTTCTTTCTGACTTTTTTTCGAAATGTAAAAAACATTTTCTTTCTAAAATAAAAAGACACAAGTTGTCCCTCTCAGACTTTAAGGGAAAAAGTGTCCTCGTTGGGGAAAGGAATTTTGGGAGATGCAAAATTTTGGCACAAAAAGGACATGGACTTCCAAAGCAATTAAAAAGTTTTATAACCCAAATAGAAAGTGGAAAATTACTTATGGCTTGATCATAAATGTAACGCCCCGCGTTCTCTGACTTGTCTTTTTAGAGATAAATAGTGTCTTTGGATTTTTCCCTAAGCTGGTAACTTTAATTCTTGGATTTTATAATTTTGAAATTATAATTTTTGGCTAAATTAGAATTAAGTTTAATTTCATTGGATTAACATAATTTAAGTTCTCGATCAATGTAGGAGATTTCTAGTTAAATCTTAAATTCATGGTCTTTGGGACTCTTAATTTCTACTTATTGGGTTATTATTATTGGCTATTAGAGTTTAAGTTAGCTATTTTATTTCGGGTTTCTTGTTTTGGGCCGTTAGAACTATTTGAAAATAGAATTCTAGTTTCTTCTAGCCCATGGGCTTTCCATTAGAGTTGGGAGTTGGGCTTTTCATTTTTAAAACTAATTAAGAGGATTCTTTAAGAATTGGGAATGTGGGCTTTTTCGTTTAAATGCAAAATAAATAAAATAAACAAAAGAAAACCCTAACTCACCATCATC